GGCGCACGGCAATCATATCCTTCTAGCCTTCCGGCTTCTGGTTGTTTTACGGGATCACATCCTTTTGGCCTTCTGGCGGGTTTCTTCACGGGATCACATCCTTCCGGCCTTCTGGCTTCGGGTCTCTTCACGGGGATCATATCCTTCTGGCTCTCTGGCTTCTGGTTGCCGTACACTAGATTGACGTCATGTCAGATTCATGAAAAATCAATACGTTTTCACTCACGTCAGCACCTCATCCTTCCTTTCGGCAAAAGTGATATGGCGCACACTGTACCGTGCTCTTTTCAGCGCTGCCGACCTGTCCACCAGACGATCCGTGGTTTCGAAAGAAACGCGTCCATTATGAATTAGTAGCATTGCCGATCCCTCTATTGTTACGGTCTCCCCTCCATCAAAACAACGAGCTTCCTTCAGTCCCTAGCGGGTTTGTCTTTGGCTTCTTTTGATCCGAAGGGCTCTTCCTGCCTCATTGCACGTCGCCCCTATGATTCGGGACGAACACCCCCTGCCTTTCCACTGACCTCAGCCATCCAAGATCTGTGCTGCGCAGAGACGGTGACGTTCTCTCGGTCATGGTAGAGCCTCCCACCGTATGCTGACTCTCCTTCGCGTAAGATCCTTCCGGTATTGGGACCATCTCTCGTTCATGACAGCCCCCCCCCCCTGGAAATCAATCGTACCACAATAGTGATCAATGGTATGTAATAGTACCTTCATCAGGTCACACGGCTTGTCATACGATGCAAGTCGAAAGCTGTGCGCGTTTTGTCGCCTTGCAGGATATACCCCCCACCCCACTCTCACGTGGACAGTTGCGCGACGGGGGGGGGGGGGGGCGAGGGGGCGTAGCCCCAGCATCTCCTTCGGGTCAGAGCTGCGTCTCGCGCTGGCATGACGTTTCTGGCCGTCGCATGTCGCGACTGGGCGGCCGTGATACATTGTGAGCACTGCGCGGCGGTCTGTGCAGGTGATGCGGCATCGGTGGCCCCGCGCGTCTCCGGTGCATCCGCCTCTCAGAAGGCCCAGGGCCACAGCTGGACAGCTGATCCTGGTCATACACGGCATCAGTGGCCCCGCGCGTCTCCGGTGCATCCGCCTCTCAGAAGGCTCAGGGCGCCAGCTGGACGGGCGGTCCTGGTCGTACCGCTGAGGCACGGGTCAGAGGGGTCGAAAGAAGGGGGCGGGGGCGGGGGGGGGGGGGGCGCTGTGTGTCGCCGGACTTGGACTGACTGCCGTGGCTGGTGAAAAAAACTAATCCTCGTCCTGCCACCCAGCACCTTCTTCTGACACCTCTTCTAAGGAAATTTGACGGAGCGGGGGGGGGGGGCCTGACTCATTCCGTCGGTCTCAACCATATTCCGCAATTTGTGCCTACGCTGGTTTCCTGGCAAGACAGTTATTTGGCCGCTTAATGGAATCATCAAACGTAACGAAACATGTTCGGTCTCGAAATATAGACCACATACGCACTCCACATGCGCCTCGCTGATGACGTCAGCGATACGGTAATGGATTCGTACATGGTGTGTGTTTTCGTGCAGGATAGCATGCAGGCTATAATAGGATGTAATTAGCTATCCCTCGGTGCCGTCTCCCGGTTGTGTGTGCTGACTTTCTGTACAGTCACGCACAGAAACCACACGCAGGTGGTCTGTGTGAAGACATGGTGGCCTCTGCGGTTAGGTAAGGTGTTATGTTGTTTCTGTTGGTTTTTGATAAGCAACTCGCATACAAACGCACTGGGATTATACGCCGCCGTGTTGCGTGAAACTGTATAGATCCATGACTTGCGGTTTCGGTAATGCAAGCTTGCAACGAGTGAATGGTTGAGTTTTGTCAAACCACACTGAAAGTCAAACAACATTCGTTGAAACAATTCGCGCTCGTCCTGTGGGCCCGCCTACATCGATCTTTTTATCTCACTTTGTTGTGCGCTGTGTTGTGCTTTGTTGACCCAGCCTTGCTGTGCAAGTGGTGTAATCATTCATTATCCCTCTGGCATTGATGTTTGATCTCTGCGTGTCACATGAGATCCTCCTCGAGCGGAGCGGCATCAGCACATCTGAGGACTGAGGACTAAGGACTGAGGACTGAGGACTGAGGACTGAGGACTGAGGACTGAGGACTAGCCTCACCACTTCTCTTCACGACGCGAACTGCCGCGTTCGACTTCGTCCCCGGCGTGGTCCGCCCCTGCGGCGAAATTATGGAGCTGCAGCCCCGGGCACCCGCAAGGACTCGGCCAACACTTCAGTAGCGAGCCCGGGGCCGGCTGGGGCGCGGGACGGAACTAATGCAGGCTGGGCTGCAGCGGCCGCCGCAGCGTCTGCGCCGGTCCGCGGCTCGGCGCGTCCTTGGCGGCGTCCGACGATGGGATGGGATGGGATGGGATGGGATGGGATGGGATGGGATGGGATGGGATGGGATGGGACTGCGCTCCCGGCGGCCCTGCTGCCCTCCAGCGCGTGCGACTCAGCTGCCGTGTGGAGTGACATCGTGAGGAAGGCCGACCTCTCGTGCAGTTCCTTGCGACCAACGACGCTTTCAGTACTCTCGCTGCCTGTTGCCCTGTCTTCTTCTGGGCTCTCTAACCCTGCGTCAGTACATGCAGCTCATCACCAGCGTAAGAATGGAACATCTGTGTACAATGTAACAGTAGGCGTTGTCTGCCTCCGTCCGCCCGGTTGGCGACCGCAACCTCCCCCTCCCCCTCCCCCTGCGTCCAGACGGTGAAGGTCGGGCCCGGTCGGGCTCAGACGCCTCGGGCGCGGCGCGGCTGCCCGGTAACCGGCCCGGGGCCGAGGCAGACGGCGAGACAAACGGCGCCCGACCCGGACCGCGCCGGATCGATGAAGTACAGGCCCTGACGTCATCTGCACTCTGCGTATGACGTCATACGAGGGCATTGCGCTCTGACGTCGCAGCCAGCACGCCGGATCTGCCGTCACGTGTGGGCAGACTACTCTGACGTCACCCGGAAACATGTCAAGGCAGTTTGGACTGATACCGTCTGCAATCCACCTTCTACCGCCTGCTCTGACGTCACTGGTAGTTCGCATTTCTCGTCTGACGTCAACTTGATGCGCCTCGCTGCACACGGCTGGCGCTTCAGCCGTCTGCTAGATGCGAGACGCCGCCGCTCCAAGATATCCGCCGTCACCCGGCAAGAGCGGGCCCGACGCCGTGCGCTCGTCGCCGGGCCGCTGTTTTCCCGGCGCGGGCGGGGCTCCCGCGGAGACAAGCTCGGGGAGCCGGCGCCGGGCGCTGCCGCCGCCGTCGGCCCCGCCGCGTGCCGCCCGACCCCGTCCAGATCGCGTCCTGTTCTCCGACGGCTGACACCCCCTCCGGCACCGAAGCATCGCGTCCCCGGCGATTGTGCCGTCTGATGTCCGGGCGGACGGGCGGACGAACGGCTGGCTGCGTGAGGCGCTGGAACGACGGGCGTGCCAACGCTCCAAACAAACTGACTCGGCCGTGTCGGCGCATGTACCAATCCCGCACAAGCATGCCGTCTCCGTGGTCGAGGGGAAATATGCTGGCACCGTGATCCAGCGGTACTGGGAACGAGACCCAGAGCGGACGCATCGTTTGGCCGAATGAAATGGAAAGGTCAGCTGGCGACTGGCCAACGAGGGTCAACTCAGCCCCGTAGCGGCCATGTCGCAGCGTTTAACGGCACGTGAAACCCTCTGCATTTTTATCAACCGAAAGGATGAATACAGAATTATCCGTCCGACCAAACAGCACGACTTGGGTGGTGAGTTCAGGGTGCACGCAACAAGTCATGCTTAGCAGGGGCACTGAACCCAAAGTCATCCAAACCATTCGGAAAACACATTAAAAAAGACACTAACGCTCCCGCCCGGCGCACACCGTGGACGCACGCACTGTGGGGCTGCAAACCTGCAGCGTGCGCGCCCCCTCGTCGCCGTTGTCGATTCTCCGGCTGCGCCCCGTCAACGACGACCGCGCTCAAACCGTGCTCGCCGGCCGGTGGCGCCGCCGCCGCCGCCGCCACACCACCATCGAACGGCCGGTCAGACGGCGGCAGCGGCAGCAGCCCCGGGGACGGCAGCCTCCCCGGCAACCTCCCGGGAGCCCAGAGACAGCGGCCTCCCAGGAATCTCCCCGGGAAGAGCAGCCTCCGGTGCGTCGCTCCCGCGCCGAGTGGGCGGGCGGGCCGACCGGCTGTTTCCGGCCGTCCCTCCGTCCCTTTTTGTCGGCTTTGCCGTTCCTTTAATGTCGGCGCGAAGTTTGTGCTCTTCGCTAGCGCTTGCGGGTTTCTGGTTCCTTCGACATGCGTATGGTGGCGCTCGGATGGACGCAGCGCTGCGGCTGCGTCAGATCGCCGTGTTGTGTCGCGTCACACTTTTGCAGCCGGCTGCGCTGCTGCGCCAGTGACGACAGTATGACGTCACACACGTCCGACTCGCACGCGGGCGTCGCAGGGCCGGCGGCTGCACTTGCCATCCTGAGGGCGAGCCTGTTGCGGCCGCAGGTCACGCTGCTCTGTCGGGTGGTCTGGCGTAGCACGGTGGCGTCCCTCCTGTCCGCCCGAGTGACCCGAGTCGGCTGCAGAGCCCCGCGGGTCAGCGTCAGCCCAAAACTGCGGTTTCGCATATGGATGCTGAAAGCTGATCGCTGAAACCAGGCGTCGCGCTCATGTGGTGCCCATGTAATGTATTCATGGCGCGCCACAGCGACGCGCTAACCCGGGGTATATTATAATGATTAATAATTATAGGAAATACACGTAGGTAATGTATTATAAGACTTCTGACAAAATGAATGCGATTTTTATGGCGCAGCCCGACAAGCGCAAACACCTTCATCATGATAGATGCCTTCTCAGTAACTCAAACCTGTCAACATCGTCGAGGTACCCATATAATTCACCGCCTTCCTCCTCTCAATTTATCTCTGAAGCCCGGAGACTGTTCTAAGGCCGAATATTAATCATGAGTTGATATTTACGTCAGCCCATCTATCTTGCTCAGGCCTTGAAGAATCAGCGGCAGGCTGACGAGGAAAAGTTCCAGTCTCTGCAGGCGGAAAACGGTGCACTCAAAGACCAACTGCAGGATCTCACCAAACTAGCCCAGGTCGGTTTGTGTCGCTAAAGCTGACCTTTTGTGCTCATAATGCCGCGAGTTGCAAGGCCTTGCGAGTTGTTCCCGGATCTAACGACATAGTGCCTTGAATTTTGTACATGCAGACACGTGCTGTTTTTAGTACTGCTTTCGCGAAGGGAAGTGCATTCATAACTGTATGTTTGTAATTTTATGTGTGGAAGCAAGTGTACTACTTCCTAACGCTAATTGTGGTTTATGCAGTGTTTAAAACCAATGTTTATGTTGTTGTCATGCCGTTTATGTAGTGTTTTTTCGTATATTAAACTGATCCAAATTAGCTCGATGTTCTCGGATAATGTTCTGGATACTCTGACGTTCATGAACTCGAAAGAAGTCGAGCTCAGTATCCACAATGCGATTGCCGTGGACGGAAGTTAATGACCTCTCCTCATAACTTTTTTTCAAAAAACAGCTGGGGTCATCTGGTTTCGGTGAATGGACGCCCGCGACACGATGTGCCCGCACCGTGTCCCATTATTACCATCTCCGCCACAAGTGGGATCACTGTAACGGCACGACCACCTTGTTCGCATCAGGGGCTGCGCGACCATATCAGGTTATCTGTGACCGTGATCGTACGGGTTTGCCGAGCCCTCTCCCTCCGGGGCGTTACCCACGTCGCTGTCAGACATCTGGAAACGATAGGTTATTGGTGCTCTCCGAAGCAAGTGTGCCCTCGTGCTCCGTGAACTATGAACGCGTACTGTCGGAAGAGAGTATTTCTTTTTCCCACTTTTTCTCCACTTCCATCTGCAGTTTTCGTTTACTGCCGACGGAGTCCATTTCAAGCTGCGTTTTCAGGTGCACAAAGAGCTTCAGCGCCAGTTCGAAGATAAGATCGAGGAATGCGAGCAGCTGGCGGAGGGACTTCAAAAGAAACAAGAGCTCTGCAATGATCTGGTAATGGCCCCTAAAGTAGTGCGTGAAAGAAGTGAATTTGGGTTTATGTTCTGTGTTTACTTTGTAGCAGCTTTATGAATTGTCAAAATCTACCCGGCACCTTGGATCAAGGGACAGTATCCGTCGCTTATAAGCGTAGCTTAAAACGTGTACAAATATAGAAAATGATATCATCGGTGTGTCGTGGTCCGCAAAAGGCGCTGGTGTTTGTTTCGTCACGCAGTCACGAGGTACGAACACCGGTGAGCCAGACGCCGGTCCCGACACGTGGGACTTCACAGCTCAGATAATATGGTGTCGCTAGCTCATTAGCTCAGGTATCTCAGTGCTGTTGCTAGCTCCTTATCTCCGGCGTCTCGGAGGTGTCGTTAATTCCTTAGCTCTGGTGCCTCAGCGGTGTTGTTAGCTCCTTAGCTCCAGTGTCTCCGTGACGTCGTTAGATCCTTGGCTGCGGTGTCTCAGTGACGTCGTTAGATCCTTAGCTCCAGTGTCTCAGTGACGTCGTTAGATCCTTAGCTGCGGTGTCTCAGTGACGTCGTTAGATCCTTAGCTGCGGTGTTGCAGCGGCGTCGTTTGCTCCTTTTCTATGCTAACTGGCGTTAGCTGTTCAATTCAGTCGCCAATTGTCTGTTCCAGGAGAAGCAGTTTTCAAGAGTCATCGAGAAGAACACAGAGTTAACTATTCAGAATAGTGACCTCCAGCGACAAGCACTCGAGCTGGATCAGGTGAGTGTTGCTGCAGTGCCTCGACCACTTAGGTGCTCGAGGCATCTCGCTAAGAATGGTCTCTGCACGGTTTATAATGCTGCGGTGTGAATTTTGTTCTTGTCGCGTGGGGTGTTCAGAGTAGGGGATGTCTTTGCGTTGTGCTGCGACCGTTAAGGCCGAGGAACGATATCAGGATGGTATATGAGAGGACAACACAACTTTATCTTGAAATTGTGCGTCGTTAGCCTCAGATGATGAATGGACGACACTTACCTCGTTCAGGTGCCACGCCTGCCTTTCATTCGTAATTTTTCCACATATCAAAATTAAGACACTCAGCCACATGTGCTCAAACAAAACACAGCTCCGTTATTTTCGCTTAAGATAGTAATCTTTCGTATGTAACCTGTGACTTGCTTAGTGCGAGAAGTTCCACGCCAATCAAAGTATTGGAAACCTAGTGAATCTCAAGATTTTAGGCTGTTTTTAATGCTGCTGTTTGCACTTTGAGTCGTATTGCTACCGAAACGTCCCAAGTCGCCACGGCTACCAAAGCTTATCACTTCTTCACCCGCGCATCATTTTTTTTTGTGAGCGGAACTGTCTTGTCCACGCGTTTATTTGTCAATGCCCATATGGCTTCTGTCCATTTTGATTTTCATCTTTGTGTGGTGTGTTCAAGAAGAATGTCGTGCTTACCCTTGTCGTTTTCAGCTGAGCACGCAATGCGTCTCGCTGGAGAAGAGCTTAACTAGCGTCCAGGCTGAATATGGTACAGCTCGAATGGAGGTAGACAACCTACGAGGAAAGGTTTCCACCCTGGAGTCCGTTCTGAAGGTAACTCGCAATAGCGTACACAGACCATTTGCACGTTTTTGAATACGTCGCTTTGCATAATTCGCACGCAGCATTTTGGCGGCACATCTTTTATTTCATTTTAACTTTACAGCGTTATTTTAGTGAGCCTAAACTGACGTATAACAGGACCGGTTGTGACTCTTGTGGCTCAAGCAAGCTAAACAGTGTTATGCGCCAATTCAATACGCTAAAGGCAATTTTTGCGTAGAGCCGAGCGAATGGGTGCGGGCCTGCGGTGTAGGTAAGTCGCCTGTGTTGTGCGATTGTAGCAAATGCGCGATGCCGCCGAGCGTAAGAAGGAGCTGGAGCGGCAGCATCAAGAAGCGCAGCAACAGCTGCGAGAGAAGCAGGCGGACATTCAGACGCTCACCAAGCAGTCGGAGGCGGACCGCCAGACCTCCCTCGACACCATCCAGTCGCTGGAGAGCAAGGTGAGCGCCGAGCACCTCGGGCTGCGGTCGTCTCCTCGAATCACGCCAAGATTCTGAACAGTCGGGCCGGGGGAGCCAGCTTGCTGCGCTGTGTTCAGGGGCTGGGAAGGAGAAACGGACGAGAAAGTGCTACCCGAGTTGTGTCATTCTGAGGAACGTGGACAAAGAAAGGTGTGACAGTGCACCCCCGCTAAAGAAGCGCCGAATTTTTAGATTCGGCTTCGCACACTACGTAAGGTTTCGGAGTGTTTGTCGCTGACGCTTGTGTGCTGCTATTGAACAAGGCTGTATTGACGAGGATTGTTACGATGGACGACGGCGCTACAAGAAACGCACGTTCACGATATGCATAAACATGGCGCAAGTTGAGATCCAACACACCGTGCACTGTCTCTAGGAGGCTGCAAGCTCCAAGACAGGCACCAGTTACGCTTTGTTCATGTCCATGCCGTGGCGATTGGTGAAAGCTGCCGGTTACTTTAGGTCCGAGAACTTGAAAAGAAAGCCGAAGTCCAGGGCTTGAGGCACGAAGAGCTCATGCTGGAGATGTCTTCGCTGAAGAAGCAGAACAAGTACAAGGGCTGGCCGGATGGCAGCCCGGACGGAACCATCACGCCAGGTGACTCTTCCGTCGGCTTTCTCTTCAGCGTTGTTTCCGCTGCTGGCTTTCCAGACAATCGTCGTTTGTCTTCTTTGGTCACAATACAAACATTTGCCTGCTGTCTAAAAATTGTGCTAAATTGTGCTAACTAGGGGATGGATGCAGACCATATGTAACATATAATATGTATTCCGCTACGCCAAAATATTAATCGGACCCATACCAAACCAAAACAAACGCGCCATTGCTCATCGAAGCGGTAGTCGCTCTCGGACGCGCCTGTGTAGCCGGGCTCGTGCCTGGGCGGGGCGCGACACCCGTCCACGCGGCGGGTCGCCGTGCGGCGTCAGTGCGCGCTGCCGCCGTGCCCCGCGTGACGCGGCGCGCGCGGCCGGCGCCGGCAGACTCGATGCTGCTGTCGAACGAGAGCACGGCGCGCTCGACGCCGGTCGGCACTGCCGTCACGCCCGCCAGCCTGGAGGCGCTCACCGAGGTGGACGAGACGCCCGGTGAGGCCGCGCCGCGCTGGCCAGCGGGCGGCGTCGGCGGCGGCGCCCGCCCCCGTCCGCGGCGGGGTGCTGACGGCGCGGCGCCGACGCTGGGCTGGCGTCGCAGGTGTTCGTCGGCGCCCGCTGCCCTGACGCGTTCACGCTCCTGCATGGCGCTTGGGCCCGTCTGAAGCCTGGGTCTTGTTCCATACCTGGTCTTGCTCCATACCTCAAGCAACTTATGCACGTTGGAGCATGCATTTTATTTGGGATTCGGCCGTAAACGCCACAGTGACACGTTCGTTGCTTGTACAAAAATGTGTTATGTCGGGTGAAGCGTGCGCTGAGAAAGTTCGTCACTGCTGCGCGTACCTCAGAGCCCCGCTTCCCTTGCGCCTGACCGCTGCCGCGCAGTGTCGGTCACTTTCTGGTGCAGACTAGGCTGTTGACCGAGCTCCGTGGGTTCGCAGGTTGGTCGCAGCGGCGCACCGACTTCCAGCTGCCAGCCACCAGTACTGCCCGGTCGGTCGCTACCACGCTAGAGCTGGACAAGATCATGGCCAAAATAGAGAACGACAACAAAGTACTCGCGGAGCTAGACAAGAACCGGTCCACGATAGGTGAGCCTGCAGATTCTGGGAGGATTCAGCTGACATCAGGCGTAGCTTTGTTCGTCTCTCATGTCTGGTACGGTTACAATCATTGGGTAACGGTAATTAACGGTTCTGACCGCGTACTGACGGCAAGGCCAATATCACGACGGCTTTGGAGGCGGTGTCACATGTTGGCGGCTGCAGTTGACTAGGCACATTTTTCAGAATGTCGAGTGCAACGGCTGCAAGTTTCTCTTGAACGCTGTTTCCTTTGTAATCTAGATCGGGCGAGGCAGAGTTGTAGACATGCGTTTGACACTATAGGCTTTGAAAAACTACATTTCCTGCCATTCCCCGGGCCCTGCTGCGCGCCGATGAACGCCCCGATGACTGGTGTGGCTGCCCCTTCCCCCCCCCCCCCCCGCCTGCCTGACGGTGGCCGGGCGCAGGCGCGGCCGGTGCCCCGCGGCCCTTGGCCCGGCTCCGGCAGCCGAGTACCAGCCGCTCGGCGCCGCCCGGGGCCGCCCCCTGTCGGCACACCGCCGGCGGCCGCGCCCGCAGCGAGCCCGGCGGGCGTCCCGCCGCTGCCGCCACCGCTCGGCCCCGGCCCCGGCCCCGGCCGCGGCCCCGGCGCGCCGGGCGGCACCAAGGTGGGGCGACCGCCGCCGTCCCGTCCGACTGCCTGGCTGAGTCCCGCAGACGGTGGACGTAGGGGTAGCTGCGGAGCAGAGCGAGCGTACGGCCCGCCCGGTGGGCCGGGCGGGGTTAGACGCACGCGAGTGCAGAGGCCGGCCCCTGTGGCCCGTGGTGTTGTAGAAATAGGTTAGAACACTAGGGCAGCGCTTGTGAATAAGAGAGGGTCTGGGAAGACCTAGGCCGTGCGCGCAGGGTCTGTGGACGACCCCGGCGCTGCTGTCTGGTGCCGGTCGGCTCTAGCGTTAGCGCCCTAGTCCGTATGTCAGTCGCACTTGCTCGGTCCACGACGGGCGTTCGTGCGGTGTAGCCACGCGGTGATGTGGGATCGTTAGACAATGTAGAAAGTCGGGTGTGTCCAGTCGTCGGAACCTGTAGAAGCCGTCGTAAACCGGCGACTGCGCCACGGCTGGTGGTGGATGGCGCTGGCGTCTTGTCCGTCGCCGCGACACGCCTGCGATCTGTCGTGTGGACGTGTGTGTGGACCTTGTTACATGTGACATGCAGGAACGTAGCGTGCCGTGGCCTGCGGTAGGTGCAGTTTGGGTGCCATGCGGGCATTTGCATGTTTGTAAGTTGTTAGCGGTCCCTGTCGAGATAGCTGAACTGCCGGAGCTCCAGCACGCTTCAGTTCGCGCGTGCTAATCACGCATTGTTGAGCCGCCTTTAAAGCAAACGAAATGCTGTGGAGCATATGCTTGCGTTGCCGTTTTGGGCGCTGTGCTCATCGTGCTACTTGGTGTAACTGGCACACTGCGCTGTGGCGTTTTTCTTCGGGGAAGGGCTCGGGGGCTCGGCGCTTCAGAGCAATAGTTACCTGATGTGCCCGCCCCTGCTGCTGCGTTGCCGCACCTGTTCTGAAGCGACCGGCTCGCCTGATGCTGCCATCCGTGCCTTTACACCATCACACGGGTCTGCCAGTGAAATGAGACAGCGGACCGTTCGGTAGCACTGCTGAGGCCGCGGCGTGGAGCTCTGCCCTGCTGGGGCAGACCGAGGCCGCTGAAGCGCTCCTGCGACCCGTCTCGGGACCGAGTGGCTCCGCCATCAGCCCGTGATCAGGGTGGGAGAAGCGCGGCGCTTCATCGCGAAGGGCGTGCCCGCGCCGCGAACTTCAGACCCTCCCCTCCCAATGTATCCCGCTTCATGAAGGTGTCGCTCGCTCCTTCGCCGTGGGGTGTGACGCCTCCCCGCAATGTGCCATCGTGACGGCTCCCGCCGCGTTGCAGGCCTGAGCAACTCGCTGGCCACCTCCGGCTCGACCAGCACGCAGCCTACCTTCCTGACGTCGGTGGCGGCGCCGCTCTCCGCGCCGTACAGCCAGCAGGCGCCGGTGGCGCCGCCTGCCGGCTACGGCGGGTACCTGGCGGCGCTGCCGGCCGCCGGCGCGCCGGCGCCGCTGATCGCCGCCGGCCTGATGCCGGCCGCCGCACCGGCGGCGCGTCAGCTGACGCAGATGCCGACCGTCTACCCCGGCGGTACGGAGGGAGGACGGGGTCGCAGCAGGGTCGCCGCGGGCACAGGAGCGGCGCAGAGTGGTTGACGAGGTGTACGCGGCGCGGTACGAAGCTGGAACGTTGCCGGTTTCGCGACTTGGGGGTTGTGTGGCTGCGGGTGGTCGCACCAGCTTTGCTGATGTTTGCTATCGATGCTTTGCAGGGAAATGACGGGAGTATGCAGCTTCCGCATTTACCGCGGCCCCTCTCCGTCTCCACTCGCGTCATCCAGTACGTGTATGACGCGCCGCGCGTCGCCTGTTTGAGATACGCGCGGCCATACATTGCCGTTAACAGCCGTGTGCTGGCGCCGTTTGCAGGGAAGATGGGCGTCATGAACGGAGTCATCCCCGGCCTGTTGCCGATGAACGTGGCGCAGATGATGGCGCCCCAGCCAGGGGTAGTGGACGCCCTGGACATTCCCGGGAAGGGGAAGTGCCAGGTGCACATCGCGAGGTACGACGAATGCGTGTTTTCTTGTGGGCGCTTTAAGAGCATTACACTCCTAGCGGTGGATAGTGTTGTATGTCGGGACTATTGCATTGCACCAGAACTCTGGAATGACCACTCCACCATTAAGCATGCTTAAAGGCATGAGCAGCCATGCAAGGGTAAAAGTCAGCCCTCTCCAGAGTAATCGGGATGGTGCATGCACTGTTTCGTAAGCTGATACACCCCTGACAGCCGCAATATCCGAACTCGCTCAAATGTCGAAAAACCTGACTTGTAGGTACGTGCAGGTGCTCTAACGACCGGCCTCCCGTGCCGCTCGTCGAGCCGGGGCCACCTCCCCTCATCTCGGTAACTCCTGCTGCTGCCGGCAGATACTCGTACGACCCGTTCCAACACTCTCCGAACGAAGCGCCCGAGAGCGAGCTGCGCCTGAACGCCGGCGACTACGTGCTGGTGTGGGCCGACATGGACGAGGACGGCTTCCTGGACGGCGAGACGCTGGACGGCCGGCGCGGCCTGGTGCCCTCCAACTTCGTCCAGAAGCTGGTGGGCGACGACCTGCTCGAGTTCCACCGCCAGGTGGTGGCCGGCCTGCGCGACTGCGACCAGACGTCCGTGACGACTTCAGTGCCGCAGGATCTCGACTTCAACTCGGCCGATGAGGCGCTGCTCAACAGTCTCGGTGAGGCGAGGCACGGCGTGACGTGACGTGACGTGACGTGACGTGACGTGACGTGACGTGGCGGGATGACGCCACTGGTAGACAGTGTGTGGGTGACGTCACAGGTAGACGTGCGGATGACGTCACTGCAGGACGGTGCGTTATCGCCCGCCACGGTGGTCGCCGCTAAATTCCGGTGGTGGGTCTTTAGTGCCGCGGTATGCCATTTCCTGGACATGTGGAGCTCATACGTACCTCTGATTGATCACGTCTCGCCGCTGTGATTACTGGATACTAACGTGTGACTGTATAAAATGGCACGAACTCTGACAGTATAATGCATTTTGAGATGTTCATCGAATAACACTTTCCTCACTATTTCGTCGCTCCATTGACTGATGGTAACGTCTGCCCTGAGTGCAGACGCCTGGCAGTATCACTACGCGCGACCCACTGTCAACCAGCTCTCAACAGTCGGCGTCTCTTGCAGCGTCGGTGACGGAACCACAGCCCTCCCCCGCAGCTCCATTGCGTCTAGCATCGCGGCGTCAGGCCGGCCGCGTGCCCCGGAGCTGCCCCACCCGCTCCCCTCCCCCCGTGCGCCAGGCCTCCTGCCCCCAGCGCGCCCGCTGAGCCTTCCACAACCGCTCTCTCTGTCCGGTAGCTCACTTGCGCGTCAATGAGCACGGCCTGCGGATCCGGCGCGTCATGCCCGAGCTGCGGCGCGCGCAGTCGTACCGGCCGAGGCGCGCTCCGGCCGGGCCCGCGCCGTTCTGCCCCGCCGGTGCGCCTCCCCCTCCCCGCAGACCCCGCATGACGGCCGCCCGCGCGCGGCGTGGCCCCGGCCGTAGTTCAGGCCTAAGTTTTTGAAGCGGCGTTTGCCAGACGCCTGAGTGTTTTCTCTGCTTGCAGCGCATTTTTGAGGAGGTTGCGATTTTTTCGGCACGTTGTCTGCGGAATGACCGAGCCTGATTTTTGCCTGAAGGATCCTGTAGGATCCTTGTATTACATAAATGTAGGAAGGATGTCCTAAGCATATGGTCCATCTGTAGTTGTCCTTAGGTGAATTTTGGTTTCGAAAGCATGACCATTTCAGTTAGCTAACATTTCATCAGCATGGCTGACGAATGAGCTTGTGGTGCAATGGAGTGCCGATTATATACTTATATAATACATCTCGCACTCGCTCGTGCATTATGCCCGGATTGTCGTTATTTGCTTTTCTGTACGTCATCGCGTTCAGATGACCTTTGGTAGCGTCAGTTTTAGTCTAGCGTGCATTAGAAATTATCACGTCGCGCCCCAGACGCTGTTTTGTCACGTGTGTCGTCCTAGCTCGATGACGTCACGTCTGTTACGGCGACAACCGGCCAATGATGATGTTCGATATTTTCCGAACCAAGATTTACATCAGTGACCAGTCTATCATTTTTGTCTAGTTGACGCAAGATTATCCGCCCTGGCGAACTAAGCCAGCTGAATGTGAACAGTTAACTTAGGATCAGCTGAATTTCGATATGCTCAGCTGACTACTTGCCCCTGTGGAATACACACGCTCTGTTGCCGCCCCCGTCGTCGTGACCCCCTCCCCACCAGCCGCGCTGGCGGCGCCGCTGTCGTGTCCGTGCCGGCCCGCTGACGCCGGCGGCGCCGCTCTCGTGTCCGTGCCGGCCCGCTGACGACCCGGTCTGTGCCGGCCCACTGACGCCGGCGCCGCCGCTGTCGTGTCCGTGCCGGCCCACTGACGACCCGGTCTGTGCCGGCCCGCTGACGGCAGCGCCGCTGTCGTGTCTGTGCCGGCCACTGACGCCGACGCCGCCTCCCCAGACGAGTACGGTCCGGCCGTGCCGCCGGCCGTCTACGGCGGCGACCCGTCCGTCTTCAGCGACGAGGAGGACGCCGACCTCAGGGGCGACTCGGCGCTTGGCACGGGTGAGCTGGGCGCCTTGCGAGCGGGCTGATGCCGAACACTGCGGAGGAGGCGGGAGCTGGACCTGGCCGTATGTGTGAGGGAAAATAAAATATTTCCATTGGTTCTCCATCATGACATCGTACGCGCTGTTGATGATAAGCGCGTATGGCGATTGGGCAAAGTCAGACTGTCACAGTAACACTGCGAACATGCGCTGAGAGTTTAAGTCAAGAACCACCTCCCAGACAGTCTTTTGAGCGGGCACGCTGCCCCCCCCCCCCCCCTCCCTCTCCCCACCGAGCCCAGCTGAGCTGTGCCGCGCGGCCGACAGTGCCGCCGCCGCGCCAGCTGACGCTGGAGCGCCAGCTGAACAAGTCTGTGGTGATTGGCTGGTCGCCGTCCGAGGCCCCGGCCGGCGCCATCGACAGCTACCACGTGTACGTGGACGGCCTGCTGCGCACCACCGTACACGCGAGCGAGCGCACGCGAGCCCTCATCGAGGGCGTCGACTCGACCAGGGTGAGTCAGACTGGGAGTCGGCCATCGCTGGGGGGGGGGGGGGGGGGGGGGGGAGGCGAGGCGAGGCGAGGATTCGAACGGGAGGTCGCGTGTGGTTAGCATTGCGGAGGTGTGCTAGTTGGATCACGCGCTTGTTCCACTGAGGGGACAGGTGCGGTGAAAAGGTGTACACATCGCTTTGAAAATCAATCGTCGACACGGAGTTGTCTGTGTAGCGTGCTCAGTTCGTTATTCCTAACGCTAGAAGTGGCTAATACTCGTGTTCTTGCGTTTGTACTTGTGCGCCCAATCTATGGTCAAATTATGCGTTACCAAAATAAAGGATGCTTCTGCTCTGGAGCAGATCCCATCACGTCCCAGCCCGCTCAAGGGCTGGGCAGTGGGGCCCGGCGCACTGACGTAGCACACTGACGGGAACCTGTGCTGCTAACATCAGTGACAGTCGCGCAAGTGTTCACACGCAAAGACGAATGTTTACTGGCTTGCCAGCGCGTTATTGGGTCGCCTTGTGATCACGAATGACACCGTTATTGTAACATCGCATCCGTTATCATCATGGCCACCTCCGCGCTCCAGTACCTCACTTACCTTGTCTCCTTCCCTCTCTCGCCTCGCCTCCTCAGCTCTCTCACCTGGCCTCTTCACCTCTCTCACCTCGCCTCCTCACCTCTCTCACCTCGCCTCCTTACCTCCCATCTCGCTTCCCCACCGCTTTGGCCTCGCCTCCTTGCCTCTCTCACCTCGCCTCCTCACCACTCTCACTCAGCTCCCCACCTCAGCACTTCCAGCACCCAGCGCTGACCATCCTTGCATCACCATCGTCATCACCAGCCTTTATATAACGATCATGCCAACGCGCGGCCGCGCTCCGGCCGCGCTCGATCCCGCAGGTGGTGTACCCCCCCCCCCCCCATCCCACACACCTCCACTAACTTCCCCCCCCCCTCCGGCAGCCACACCGTGTGAGCGTGCGCGCCGTGACGCCGGACCGTCGCGCGTCGCGCGCCGCCGCCTGCACCATGCTGATCGGCCGTGACGTGCCGTCGGCGCCGACGGCCGTGCGCGCCACACACGTCACGTCCACGTCGGCCGTCATCTCGTGGATGCCGAGCAATAGCAACCACCAGCACACGGTGTGCGTCAACAGCGTCGAGGTGCGCACCGTCAAGCCGGGTGTCTACCGGCACACGATCACAGGTGAGTGGCGTCTACCGGTGCGGGGTGCGGTGGAGGCGGGGAGGCACAGGCCGTTTGCGAGAGACGGCCGTAGGGAAGGTGCGGATCGGATCGCCTGTGGCCCGTCTTGAGCCAGCCACGGCGGCGCCAGCGAGCAGCAGTGGCAGAGAGAGAGAGAGAGAGAGAGAGAGAGAGAGAGAGAGAGAGATGAGAGAGAGAGAGGAGAGAGAGACGAGAGAGAGAGGAGAGAGGAGAGAGAGAGAGAGAGAGAGAGAGGAGAGAGAGAGAGAGAGGAGAGGATGAGGGAGAGGGAGGAGGGTAGAGGGAGAGGGAGAGGGAGAGGAGAGAGAGGGAGAGGGAGAGGGAGAGGGAGAGGGAGAGGGAGAGGGAGAGGGGAGAGGAGAGGGAGAGGGAGAGGGAGAGGGAGAGGGAGAGGGAGAGGGAGAGGGAGAGCGCGAGAGCGGCAGACAGTGGCAGAGGCAGTAGCAGAGACAGCGCAAGCGGAGATTGCGACCAGAACGGTTATTTATTTCGTACCCATCATTCGTGTAACTTAAATATAGTAATGAATGCCCCCGAGTGCTTCTCAGCACCAGGAAGTGGCCAGACCGTCATCGTTGTGTGTGTTGCAGGCATATCTCCCAATACAGTGTACCGGGTGAGCGTGAAGGTGAAGAACATCACAGCGCCACAGTTCAACAACAGGAACGGCACGTCCAGGGAGCGCCAGGCCACCCACATCGAGTTCAGGACGCTGCCGAAAGGTGAGCTCGCCTGGAGTAACTTCGTCGCTCTGCTGTGAACCAGTTGGCAATCGGAGTGCGTCGGTGTTAAGTCGGTTTTCGCTGTGCGACGTGTGATTGGGTGTTGTGGGTGGATGTTCGACCTTCAGTGCCTTGTTCGTTCGATGTCGCCGACAAAGATACTCACGAAATGTTTGTTCATGCACATTGATCTGAAGGAAGGAAAGGTAAACTTCATTCCGAGGCTGTTTTTTATTGCACAGTGCACCCGTTAACCACTTTCGTTCTCTTTTCTGGCTTGACCTGTTTTATCTGTATAATATCTGTGCGGTTGGTTTTGTGACCTGGGTAGCACTAAGCTGTCATTTGAGCTTTTTTAATGGCATATCTGTTCGTAGTGACAAAAACGCGGTGTCCTCCAGCCTTGTTCAACATTAATCACGAAGGAATGTGACCTGTAGACAAAATGTCCATCCAGAACGAAGGGGAGGGGGGGGGGGGGGGGGGGCGTGCGTGCGGCTGGCATTGAGGCGGTACGTAGAGAGACGGATCATTCGCCTTATACCGTATAGCATGACAGCAGATCATTCGACCCACGTTCTCCCGCCCGAGATACGACAGCACTTGGCAGACGCATGTGGAAGCACGTTATTGGCAGAGCCTGGCGAACTCAGTTATAACCCTGGTTTAGTTTTGCACACCCACTTACCTGTCTGATGTGAATGTTTGCATGATTTGCTGATCTACAACACCTCATGTTGCCTTGAATGTGAGCTGGAATGTTTTTCCATCATCTGTATTCGAATTTTATCCCGGTAATAAGTAACCACGCAACGGGCTCGTTGGAGAGAGATTAAAAGGCGTTTGCGTTTGTGACATACTTCCACAAGTATTATTTTCAGTGAGCACTGACAGAACAGCAGCAAATACGCATAATCAATAGTGTCGTTCCGGCAGCTCAACGCAGCAGCGATTTTGCGGGTTTATGTTGGTGCGTTCGCGTCTGCGTTTCAGCGTCTCTCTGTACGCCCGTTTCCATCGTTTGTTTCTTACACCCATCTGACTCATCTCATAGCACCAGACGTCATCACAGTCCAGTCACGCATGTGACACCCGCCATGTGTTTACACGGTGATGTCTAGCTGGGCTGGGTGACACCGCACTGGCTCTGTGGGCGCGGAGCGCGGTGTCCTTGGCTGTGCTGCGTAAGGACTGCGGTATTGAGCGGTTCGCTCGGGGGGGGGGGGGGGGCTGAGTGTTAGGCGTTGTTTTGGAGTGGGGTCCACACAGGCAACTGAAAATGAAAGGAAATAGTGTGCGCTGTGGCGGATGATTTACGTTGTGATCTATTGAAAGTGCGGGCTGATATTGGCTTGTCACGGGCGCAAATTATTTACTCGTGTTCTCCTGTGCTTGCCAGAGCTGATGGAAACGCGTGAACGAGCTATGCGTGTGCTCGAGCGTGAGGGCGCTGACGTCACCCGACACATTTAAACTGAATACACAAGTCCGATATGTTTCGGGGCAGACAGTGATGGCATGGGTGCCGAGCCATTCCCACGTAGGCAGAAACGTCCGTGTTGCCCTTCGCTCCAATGGACCGGGCTTGCTACGTGCATCTGTATTGTGCGTGGGAGCCCGAATCGACACGAATGGGTCGTTTTGGGGCTATTTCTGTGTTCGTGATCCGGCGCCGAGCACTTGCAGTCCAGTTCCGCCCGCCTCGTTCCCTCGTAAGATGTCTCAAGTGGCGCGCGGGTTTGTTAAGTCAACGCTACATCGCCAAGCCCACCCCCAACGCCGACCCGAAGCTGAGCGTCTCCTCGAATTCTTTGCACCTTGTACTCAAAATTTCAGGTTTTTTGGGCTCAAACTGGGCGCTGGGCAGTCAATTGCAGTGCTGCAGCCCACCAGCCCGCTCAGTCCCTACGGCCCGCATGTGCAACGTATCGTGCAACTCCCTGTAACCGGCGTGTGACCGGCGTGTGACCGGCGTGTGACCGACGTGTGACCGGCGTGTGACCGGCGTGTGAGCGGCGTGTGACCGGCGTGTGACCAGCGTGTGAGCGGCGTGTGAGCGGCGTGTGAGCGGCGTGTGACCGGCGTGTGACCGGCATGTGACAGGCGTGTGACCGGCGTGTGACTGGCATCCAGGCGTGCCAGACCCGCCGGTGGACGTGCAGTGCGAGCTGGGGCCGCAGGCCGGCGCCATCCTCGTCACCTGGCTGCCCGTCACCATCAACTCCACCTCGGGCACCAGCAACGGCGTGCCCGTCACCGGCTACGCCGTCTACGCCGACGGCAAGAAGGTCACCGAACTGGACTCACCCACAGGTGAGCGGCGGCCTCCCCCGCCGGAGGGCCGGAGACCGGCAGGCCTCGGGGCTAGTGGACTCGTCCGCATTCGGCCAGCGTGCAGCCGTGGCAGACATTTGATGTGAGAGATGCTTGGAGCTTGGAGCTTGGAACCGAGGGGCTTGACGACATGGGGAACCGTCCGTGAAATGCTCGTTCGCGTGGCCGGAGTGGCGTTTGGCATGGCTGTATATCATCATCTGTCGAAACTGGCGAATCTCATGCCTCGCAATGTGGCCGTGGGCTCAGCCAGGCTCAGTGGGGGCTCAGTCAATGAGCCAGCGGCGTGAAATGACGAGGTGGCTGAGGCAGATGCGGCGAGCGACGCTGATTCGAAAAAGTTTGCCGTCGTACGGAGCTCATCCTGCGCATATTTTGCCAGCGAGATACCCGATCGCTGAGTACTGCAGATTTCCCCGGGCTAGTGACGTCACATATTGGGTTGAGCAAGAGATGATTTAGGTTCAGTGTTCTGGCTAATCGTCGTTCTTGGAGAGCGCAATTCATCAACCCTCGTCGAAGCCGTCGTAAAACATGCGATTTGAGCCAAAGTAAATTTCCCGCTACGTGTGAAACACGGATGCCGGACGCGTAGCTGCGCCATCTAGAAATATGAGGCCGGTCTTGCTGGATCGGAATCAAGACCTGGGCGTCTCCCCGGAAGTAAGCTCATCCATTCGGCAGGCTTATAATGATGATAGGGTTCTGAGCGGGTGGGCGAAGATGGAGTCGCTTCCGCTCGTCACGGGTGGTGGGGGGCCAGTTGCCTGGTCTCGGGGAAATCGGACGACGCGGTGCCGGGCCTGACTAGGCCAAGTGGAGCTGATGTGCCGACTCTCGCCGGGAGACCTTGCGAGTCTGGCGGTGAGTCTCCGACTCTCCCACTGGGAAACCTGGCGGTGAGTCTCCGACTCTCCCACTGGGAAACCTGGCGGTGAGTCTCCGACTCTCCCACTGGGAAACCTGGCGGTGAGTCTCCGACTCTCTCACCGGAAAACCTGGCGGTGAGTTTCCGACTCTCTCACTGGGAAACCTGGCGGTGAGTCTCCGACTCTCCCACACGGAAACCTGGCGGTGAGTCTCCGACTCTCCCATGGGAAACCTGGGGAGTCTCCGACTCTCCCACTGGGAAACCTGGCGGTGAGTCTCCGACTCTCCCACTGGGAAACCTGGCGGTGAGTCTCCGACTCTCCCACTGGGAAACCTGGCGGTGAGTCTCCGACTCTCCCACTGGGAAACCTGGCGGTGAGTCTCCGACTCTCTCACTGGAAAACCTGGCGGTGAGTCTCCGACTCTCTCACCGGAAAACCTGGCGTGAGTCTCCGACTCTCCCACTGGGAAACCTGGCGGTGAGTCTCCGACTCTCTCACTGGAAAACCTGGCGGTGAGTCTCCGACTCTCCCACCGGGAAACCTGGCGGTGAGTTTCCGACTCTCACCGGAGCAGTGGGTTACCGGCTCTCACCGCGTGGCCAGCGGGCCGCGCGTCGGCGGGTATTGATCGCACCGGGGACGGGCTCGGTCTGCGGCCGGGAGACCGAACAGCACCCAACGGGTCACTCCGGCGCCGACCCGGCGGCCACAGTCTCACCGGCCGGTAGCTGGGTGGTCATGAAATGGCCCATAGGTCACGGCATTGCGGTGTATAAACAACGAACTGTGTGCAATTGAGTCCTTATTGCACATTTTGCACAAACGCTGGGTCATGTGGAAGGGCATATCGCACATATAGGTTGTAATGCTGCTGCAAATATCATTTTCATGGCGTTGTTATGTTGGTATGCAGGACATTGCTGGAGAAAATAAAGCCGCGACTGGTACGTCGTGGTTTGGCAAGGCGCCATACAAAGTCGCATGGAGGCTCATTTTGTTCCCTCCCTCACTTGGTTTGTGATCAAATATGTTTGCGGTCATCATATCGCCCGTCCGCCTGACTTGTTTGATGCGCCGTTAAATATGAATACGTGCCTACAACGATACGAATTCAGAATCATGGTGATCACCTGTTAATTCACAAAAACCGGCTGAAAGATGCTCCCCAAAACAGCACTGTTACAGATCCTACTCAAACCAATATTTGGTGATGACCTTCGCAAACGTTTTAAGTAGCATAGCGTCGCGCCGAGAGTAGCTCTCCCCACTCGCGGAGAATCAGCAGTGCGCCGAGCACAGCTCTCCCCACTCACGGAGAATCAGCAGTCGCGCCGAGCACAGCTCTCCCCACTCGCGGAGAATCAGCAGTCGCGCCGAGCACAGCTCTCCCCACTCGCGGAGAATCAGCAGTCGCGCCTAGCACAGCTCTCCCCACTCGCGGAGAATCAGCAGTCGCGCCGAGCACAGCTCTCCCCACTCGCGGAGAATCAGCAGTCGCGCCGAGCCAGCTCTCCCCACTCGGCGATCAGCAGTGCGCGGCACAGCTCTCCCCACTCGCGGAGAATCAGCAGTCGCGCCGAGCACAGCTCTCCCCACTCGCGGAGAATCAGCAGTGCGCCGAGCACAGCTCTCCCCACTCGCGGAGAATCAGCAGTGCGCCGAGCACAGCTCTCCCCACTCGCGGAGAATCAACAGTCGCGCCGAGCACAGCTCTCCCCACTCGCGGAGAATCAGCAGTGCGCCGAGCACAGCTCTCCCCACTCACGGAGAATCAGCAGTCGCGCCGAGCACAGCTCTCCCCACTCGCGGAGAATCAACAGTCGCGCCTAGCACATTTCCCCCCACTCGCGGAGAATCAGCAGTCGCGCCGAGCACAGCTCTCCCCACTCGCGGAGAATCAGCGCCCCGAAGCCTGGTCCACAAGAAGCGAATATGTCTGGTCGTGTGCCTCATGACTCACGTTTGTACGCTTTGCTAATGATGGGCGGGGTGTCTGACGAGGCCTCCGGGCACCGATCGGACAGGGTAACCCCCCTCCCCCCAGAAGGCGACGGAGCAGCGTACGCTGGGACGTACGGTGATACCGTAGTGCGTACCCCTATGAGCTGGGAAGACGTGAGCGCCCTTGCGCGTGTCATGAGGTCCGCACCCGTTGTTTTCCCGTCTGCTGCTCGGGGCACAATCCCCGTCGGGTATCCGTCTGACCCTCCCTCTGACCCGTCTGACCCCCCCCCCCCCCCTCTGACCCGTTTGGCCTCTGACTCTCTCCGTCTGTTGTGGAGGCGTCCTGACCCGCTGCCGGGGCCGTGCGGCTGTCTCGTGCTCACGCCGCGCCGCCGTTGTCGACAGGCGACCACGCCCTCATTGACCTGCAGCAGATCCACTGGCTTCAACCCGCGCCAGGTCACAGTGCGAACCAAGTCCCGTGACCTGGTGTCGGCCGACTCGCTGCCCTGTCCGATCCCACAGCGCACCAATGGCAAGGTAACGCAGGGGCTGCGTTTTTGTCCGCTTCGTTTGGAATGTTGCTGATTCTATAGCTTGAGTTATGCAGGCTCTTTTGCATGCCACCTCGGATACAGTGGCTTATGGCTGCTGCTTCTTTTGTTGCGTCTTATTTTGTTTTGTTTTCTATTGGCTTGCGTCGCTTCAGCCAGGCTTTTTCGAAGTGAGGTAGCGGTTATGAACGTCCTCTTCCTCTGAATCGACAGAGATTAAATCACTTCGGATTGGAAAATGTTCGGAAAGCGATGTGCTTGATTGGACTCGCGCGGCCGTGTGCCTGCTGGTGAACCGATGCAGGAAAATTAAAGACTGACCTACATGGGGCCCTTTTGACTGGCATTGAGTGTCTGACCTGTTCACACTCCCAATGCTTGCTTCCTGACGGCGCCCGTACTGGACGTCAGTTTCCGTCAGTTGCATGCCCCTTAGATGCCGTGCATGCGCCATCGTTTTGTGTCGCCTTTGTGTTCAGTTCTGTTCAGTTTGCCGCGGTGTCGATAAGTTGGTGGCGTCGCCTGTCCATGTACGGCCGCTGGAAGGCATGCAGTGGCGTTAGCGTTGTATGATGTCCCTCTCCTGTGCGCCAGTACGCAGAGCTTGAGCTGGATGAGCTGTACGCTATTCCTGAGGAGTCTGAAAGCGATCTCTCCGACCTGGTAAGTCACGTGCTTTACGTGGTCATTGCATATTGTGTGGACGGTAGCAGGTACTAAATTTGAAACATGGTGTGGCTAAACTGGTGGTCGTCCGTAATTTGTCCTTTTCCTTAAGCCTGGAAACTGGTAACAAAGGTTTTTTGGCCGCATCTGACGCATCCTGCTCTATGTTGCGTGCACTGCACGAATATAGCAATAACAAATCGCGAAAGCCGATGTTCTCACCGCATGTAGCGGTTGTGCTGGCTGGTACCGCCTAGAGTCCTATTTTGCAGGCCTGGTAGGTACACGTCTTTGAAATGTCGGAATCGTAGCAATGACCGCGCCGATCATGGTCTGAAAATGTCAAATATGAGGGCTAATTCCCTCTGCAATTTCTGAATTTCGAGTTCCGTGCACTTTCTGACAGATTCCTGTCTCACCGATGCTGAACGGTACTGTGGCTGCGCTTTTAATATTTGGGATAGTCATCCCAGGTTATAACCAGGGCAAACACAGCCATCCTGTAATGCTACAAAACTCGTTATGCTGGTAGTTGTCCCTCCAGCACGTGACGGAACCTTTGCGTTGACAGGAAGAACCACTGCGCATGCGCCACCAGCCGGAGCCGACTGGCTCGGCCCACTCCTCGCCGCGCCTGCGGCGTCGGATGCCGCCGGCGGGGGCGCCGCAGCGCGGCCGGCCGAACCAGCAGCACGTGCTGGAGACGGAGGAGAACCTCAGCGACCGGGAGGCCTACCCGGGCAGCTACGGCTCGGTGCCACACATAGGTAAGAGAGGTCAGCCGGGTGGGATGTGACGGGTGGACATGGCACAGCGTCCAGAAGTAAGAACAAATGGCCTTTCTTGTGGCATTGGAAGTCAGGCACATGCGTGCTCTGAAGATCGATCAGTGTGTGCCAAAAATAGATGTGATTTTGTCTGATGTAGTACCCGTAGCCAGGCTGCGTATTTAGTACTTGCTGCTAAACATATGTGGTCCTTTCTTCTTCTTGTTTGGACATTGTCTACCTTTTCTTTGTCCGCCTTTTCTGAGGTAGCACCGGATACACCCCTCCCCGGTCGCCTCGGCCCGAGCTCTGACCCGCAGGGCCTTACAGAGGTCACCAAGGACTCGCCGAGCGGGGGTGGCGTGCCCTCGGGCT